AATTTGGTTACTTGTTTTAAAATCAAAAGATGTCCACCCCGAAACGAGATAAGTTCCGCTTGAAACATTTTTTGAGTTTGGGAGATATAATTGCGTCCTAAACTTCAAATGAGACACCCTGTATACTATTATATTATATAATTATATGCAAACAGGTACACTTTTTTCTTGTATTATCAGTGAACATAAAGATTAATACTAGATAAAGATTAATACTGTTATAATAAATAAGTCTACTCAACGAATAAAAAATTATTACGGTTGCCAACAGTTTTCGATTTTTATTACCATTAATTGAAATATTTTTCCGATAAATAATTACACCTTGACATTATTTCCACTCAAATAAAACGTTGTTTAGACTTAACTGATAACGTTAATACTTATAATTAACTGTTTATGGAACTCTCTATAAAGTTAAGTTATAACAACTCTTTGTTGCGAAAATTGAAACTGTTCTTGCATACAAAGCTATTTTCCAACGTTATCTATATAAACAATAGCAAATTCGCCACGAAATTAAAACAACAAACCGTGTATCTCGATTTTCAGACGCATTACTTTTTTGTTGTTTCTTGCTTGCGTAATTTAAAATGTGGGATGTATATACGCATTCTGATATTACGTAAGAGATTAGCATTTTAAATATCACAATAAAGAACGACATGTAGAAGTTTCCTAAATTTAGAATACAGATTAGTACTAATTTAATCATTAATATCGAGACAAGAATGACAAAAATTATATATCAATTAATATATCAATATTTTTCTACGGAACTGTTCAAGAATTTTTACATACATTTTAATTATAAAGAATTATTTTAGTCCCTGAAAAAGATTTTTATCTAAGCTTTAACCTTTAGACTGCCGGGAAAGCCACTTTTGTGGCTCTTGAGAGTTTGGGTTAAAATACCACCATTTTTTATGGTATTTTAAATACTAATTGTATTAAATATATGAGGCATTCCATGTCAAATCGCATCTTTAAAACAGCATCTTCAAAACATCGTTATTTTTAATTTTTTTTTAATTTATTGACATATTTTACAGACAAAAATATGAGACGTGTGTTTCGCGAAAAACATTTGAGATTTTTTTGTGAAATTATTCACGCTTGTAAGTTGCAGAAATTCAAAACAAAAAACGTCGCTCATGCGAAATTCAAATTATTGTATCATCGAAACCATTAATCTTACAAAAAACTGCAAGAGACCAACTTTGAAGATCTTAAATTGCTCTATGAATGGGTTATTTTTAATTTATCATTTTCATATAAATAAATCATTTTCCGCGTTTGTTTACAAATTTTATTAACATTTTTCGTCATAAATTTACCAATTAAAAAATTTTGTAAAAATATATTTCCACTTCAATTATGAAATAATCCTGAAAATTTCAAAATGGAACTTGAATGGAATGTACAATTTACTTAAAGAAAAGTTCTCTGCATGAATCTATTATATACCTTTATATTCATTTATGTTATCAATGTTACGTTTAGAACTCGAGATAAATCTATACTCAGAATTGGAATCAGCGATACCAAAAACCCTCAAATGCACTATTTTTGAGAAAATAAAAAATTTTTTTATTTGGCATCCCCTGCCAGGAAAGCCACTTTTGTGGCTCTGCACAAATCTCGATATTTTACGCTTTGTGTATGTTACTTATTTAGGAAAATTTTCTATATAAGAATTTTTTATACAAGAGAAAAAAACCACTATTTTAACGAAAAAACACAGGCAGCCTAAAGGTTAATAGATTATATTATTTATCATTAGATAAAATTATAATAAAGAATTAAAAACAAATTCAGAGAGAGGAAACATAGAACAATAAATTAAATTTAAAATTCTAGATGTTAAAAATGTTTAATATCATATGCATAACTATACATAGATACTTACATCAATTAAACAAGCAAAGAAGAAATGATATTCGAAATCTTCAAAAAATAAAATAATTTTTTAAACTATAGGTCTGTTTCTGAGGCTGAATTAGTGTACACTTTTGGAACTTAAAGTGAGGTATATGTTTAGTATTTGTCGAAAACGAGATAGTTCTAGTGCAGCATAGTGCAGGAACAGAAAACAAATTATATTTTTAGACATTATAAAAAAATAATTAAATCAGATATTAAACATCTCATTTTGATTAGTAAAATGATAAGTATGCTGCAATGTGACGTTATCATACTAAAAGCAGGAAATGAAAGTAACTTGTTACATGTAACAAAGTTACAGTTACGAATTACTTTTTTTGTAATTCTACTGGTACCTGCGTCACTTTTTTTTTATAACTGTAACGGTAACGTAGTTATATATTTTTTTATAACAATAACAAATTTTACAGTTACTTTTATCGTTACTTTGCACACAGTTTGATTGAACACAAGTCACTCATAGTACTTGAGACTAGAAAGCCTCTAGGTACCTGTCCGCTGTAATTAGTGATTGTCGATTTCTAAAAAGTAACGAAAAAGCAACGAAAAGTTACTTTCTCAAGTAACTGTAACCAGTTACTTTAAAAAATCGATTACTAGTAACGGTAACTCGTTATTCTACTCGATAACGAGCAACTGTAACTTGTTACTTTCAAAAAGTAACTTTCCATTCCCTGACTAAAAGAATATTTTTTTTGTCAAAAGAATGTTTTTTTTTAAATATTTTTTCGTTTATTTTTCTTTTTATTTAAATATAACGCATGCTTTAAACTTATACAAAGAGCATATTTTTCAATAGTTTCTCACTATTGTTGTTCATTTTTGTCACATCTCTCGAAGAAAGAAATTATACGATTGCAGCGAATGATCTGTGAAGATTTTACACGCGGTAAAAGGTTAGTCGAAATTCATTACACCAGAATATAAAAAAGGTTAGGATCCTAAAACAGTCGTGTACTATCGATTTAGATTACTATTTCTACCGAATAATTAATCGTTTCAATGATGACTTTTTACTTACGAGCCACAAACAACGCAGTGAACTTCCTGAACAGTAAATGTTTGATAGATCTTAAAGAATTCCAAGAGTGACACAACGTACATCATCCGCTGACACTGCCATAAAGATTGCTTGAGATTGCTCTTGATGTGGCTTGATGTGAGAGAATATTGCCACAATACCAGAACAAAATATAAAGGAGATAGTTCGACCTTCCACGATTAATAAAAGCAGGTTAAAGCGGCGTTACAGCTTTTTTATTTCAAGAGCGGAGACACTTATCATAAGATGATAAGAAGTACCATGATAAATAATAAATTTTAATCTTATTTGAATCACATATGTTTAAAAATGTCAAATTTAATGCTCTCAAGTTGGCTATGGCCGCCATTGTGTCGTAACTGTGACGATCATGACGTCATGAGAAACGTCACATCGTACGATCGTTATATGTGGATAACGTGGAGCTGTCTAAACCTTTCCCTCCCCCCCCCCACTCTAAAACTACATTTCTGTTATCTCGGACAACAGGAGTGTCAGGTGGTGTTAGGAGTTATGACAGAAGGCTATGGAGTCTCTGTCGAAGAAAAATTTCTTTATACTGAAATTACGAAATTAAAATATTGAGAAAGGGTATACAGTAAACGCGATGCTACAAATGCTTTAAGGCGTCCTTTGATTGGTCAATTAGTAAAATTCTTTCTTCTGATTGGTCCATTAAACGCTTCAAAGCATTTGTAGCGAGACTTTGACCACAGTCGAAATTGCAATGTAATTACGACATTCGTGATCAAAAAAGTCGTCTGAAGGCTTGTAGCGTTTTTGTTGGAAAAAAGAGATAAAATACAAATTCGTTGTGATATTTCACCCAATCTACACTATAATAAATGTAATTCAGATACTAATAATTTTATTTATTATACCGTTTCAAAAGCTAAATTACAAAATCCAATTGTGTATTAGATGCCTCTATAACTTCGTAAAAAGCTGAAAAAGTCTAATATAACGCAATATTATTTTTAGACAAGATTGGATAAGTTAATATTTTTTTTTAATTAAATAAAAGTTAAAGTTAATAGTTCATAAATTTAATTTAGTTAAACGAAAAGTTGAACAAAAAACTAATACCGTTAAAATTACGTTGACATAGAATTAATTTAAATTAAATAAAAAATTAATTTCGAAAAGTATTGTTTTTACTAAATCAAAATATCTTAATTTTATTTTAACTACTTAAAATATTGAAATAATTACAATATAGATTTTACGAGATAAATTAAATATTTTATTAAATTATATGAAATAACAAAAATGTTTTTTCTACAATAAAAAACAATATTTTTTTATATATAGGTATTTCCATATTTAAATATTTATATTATAAAAGAAAAATAAAATATAATTAATCTTGAAAAATAAAAATATAAATCCCGCATAAAAATATACTATTAGTATCACTTATAGTGCAATAAGTAAATTCGATAAAAAATTTCATTAAAATTTCAAAAAGTTTCATTAAAATTTTAATGAAATTTTTTATCGAATTTACTTATTGCGCTAATGATATTAGTAGTATGTTTTTATGCGGGACTTACATATTTTTATTTTTCAAGATTAATTATATTTTATTTTTCAGTGAAATTTTAATGAAATTTTCTTCACCACTATTACATTATTAGTGACACCACACTTATCGAATTTACTAAGGCCCAGTTTCACAACTGACGGTTAATTCTTAACCGAGGTTCAACTTGTTCATTATCTCTTTTCAATTCTAGAATTGGAAAAAGATGAGAAATAAGTTGAATCTCGGTTAAGAGTTAACCGTGAGTTGTGAAACTGGGCCTAAGAGTTAATGGGATAATCTTGATCAACCCTGATCCAGGTATCACTCTATCCTTGTTGTTTATCGTACATTAGATAAGGATGACATGATACCTGGGGAGCACCCAGGTATTCCGCCGCCGCCGATTTTGAAATTTCCGCCGAACGCCGTCACTGCCGAGCTATTTTACCTCAAACGCCGCCGCCGATATAAAATAAAACACGGGTCTATTCACATCACAGTGTTACATGACCATGACGGATATTCTAACCCGAATAGTCGTGAACTTTAACGTTTAATATCTCGATTCGCTGGGCAGAGCGACGCTTTTTTCTCAGATTCTTTCGTTTTATGGAAAAACGCGTCGAATGAGTATAATTTAATCGATTTTTAAGAGGATGGCCGTCCATTGCACTTTTACCAAGAATGATCCTGCAACGTTGTCGGAATTATTTGACAACGCTTTCGAAATGTTTAACAATATTAATGCTACGGTAGAACCAACGAACAGTTCGAAAGTACAGGTGAGATTTTTAAATTCTGATTTTTTTGTAGAGTCTTACTATTTAGCTGATTCTACAATGAGTCGATAGTCGGAAATCTGAAGTCTTAACCAGTTTTAATCTAAATAAGTGACTATGATTTTTCGCATCTACTAGTTGTTCATTGTACAGTAAGTCGTTTAGTTTGATTAACCCTGGATCTACAATAGGTGTTTTCAGCCTTAAGCCGTAAGAAATGGGCGAATCACAGTCACTTATTCTTCCCGGATTCGATGTAATTGATCAATTTCTTAGACAAGATAGGTCAAGATTATCGGAGAATGCTCCCCTATTCAGCATATTTACCCAAAATTTATTTCTATTTAAAGTAGAACTCGTTTGTTATTGCAATAAAAATTATAATAGCTTTTTTCTTTTCTTGTTATTTGTTGCAGTTGGACATAAAACGAACAATGCACATGTTTGAGGATGCAACGAGACTTGTGTCTATAGTAGATATGTTTAGCGATAACGAAACTTTTGAAGAAGTAGCCACGGAGAATATCAAGTATTTTTTATTACCGGCTCTATTGGGAAAACTTACCAATCAGTTATGCGTTACCGATGATAGAATGCATTTGGTTAAAGTAGCAGAAATCTATTTTATAGATTTTTTAAAGCGACTAAAAGCATACGGTCTGATAACAGATGTTGAAATACCAGAAATTAGTAAAGTTGATGAGAAAAAGGAAACAGGAGATAATGAAAATACATCAGAATCAAGGATGTTAGAGAATATGGTTGGGTTTTTTAATTATATGATTGTTGTAAACTGTTATAAAGTATAATTATTTTAATTCTGCTTATTTTAGGTGATCCGTAGAAATACAAAGTTACAAAGATATCAACAGGAGAAAGATTTGGAATCTCGTTTGGATACTTTAAAGAAGAACTTAGATAATCCTAACATTGATGACGAATTTAAGAGAGAATATTTTGTTACTCTTATAAAATTATATGCAGTTCGAATCGTTGATGACTTAAATTTCTTGAAAAGGGAGAAAATGATTTTGGAGAATATGAAGGAAATGAAACCGATGCAAACTTCGACTTCTGAAATACAAAAAAAGCAAAAATTACCAGCTCCAAAACTGCAACCCATTATCATTACACGTGACGAAATACAAAAGAAAGTTTTTGGAGCAGGCTATCCAAGTTTACCAGTTTTAACAGTGCAAGAGTTTTACGAGCAAAAGGTCAAGGATGGAGAGTAAGTAGAGATTACGTCAGTCAAAAATTCAAGACTATTAAAGGTCATCTATAATGCAAGTAATATGGTAAGGCGTAAACCGTAAGAAATGGACTAATCACAGTCTAAAGTAAGAAGAATAATCGATTATGATTAATCAATTTCTTATGACTTAAGGCTTAAAAATTTATTGTAGAGCCAGGGTAAAAGATGAGTCAGATTGAAGTATCAATTACCTATTTCAAATATAGAGATTTCAAGCTTTCAAATACTTTATCAATTTTTTGTCTGCGATAATTTTTCATCGAATTACTGTGTTCTGAATATTGCGCAATTTTGAGCGTGTTCAAAAGTGTTCTCTATTTTTTGTTGAATAGTGTATATTCAATAAACATTTTTTTTTATTAAACTTTGGAATTGATAAGAAAAATTGGTAATAACAAAAAATTTGTGTTATTTCCAGCTGGCCCGATTCATCGCAACATAATGTAACTAATTCTCGATGTTTACAAGATATGGCGAATAAAGGTATAATATCAAATAATGAGGATAGTGAAACCGTTTTGAAGGAAAAAAAAGAAGAAAAAGACGATCCTGAATATCTCGAACAACTACGTGCAATGGATGAATATAAAGACACACATCGTCGTGGGTGGGGTAATCGTGCTAATAGAAGTTAAGACGTCTGAGAATAAAATTGATATAATTCTATCCTCAGAATGCTTTTTTATGTCTTTGTTTATAAGACTTTATGTTTTAATTACATTTTATTGAACTAAAGTAAAGTTGAGAATCTGTCTTAAAACAGCAAAATAAATAATGGAAGCGAGAGATGCTAATCTTTATAGCTTCTGGTTGTTTTTCATTACTGTTCCACGTAACGAGGGAACGTTCCAAATTGCAAAAGCGATATAAAAAAACTGACGCTATCAGTCGAACGATCACATTTGAAATAGATATTCTAAATAGTCAAATCTTAGGATCCTGTAGATTTGCACCCGATTTGGTACGAATCATATTTGACCGTATTTGATGTATTCACATATACGGTGGTGTTTAAAATTCTTAAATGTTTAAGCAATTTTCATTATGGTGTATTTAGCATTAATAATAATAATAATAATAATAATAATAGCTTTATTGCATTGTGTGTAGATGTGTGCTATTGCACAGCGCTAACGGGACGCTCCCTTTTTTGGTCAGGTCGAAAATTTCTCAATTTACAGGGTGTCACAGAAAAATCGGGATACCGAATTATCTAAAAAAAATGACGTTTTCAAAAAAAACTCGTATCAAAGTGTAAGGTATCAAGTTATTCATTATTTGGCGATATTGGTTTGGCCTTAAATGATCTTGAGAATGTTACGTTAAAATCACCCTGAGTTTTTTTTAAACAAAAACTCCTATTTTTTGTTAAATTCTTGTAGCCGACGTTGAGGTCTTTTTAAAACAGTATAATTAGGTTTCATTTAAGCAAAAACTATTCGAGATATACGCCGCTAAAGTTTAAGTACCGCCCGACATTATCCAGGGTGCATCACGCGTAGGTTGCGCGGTCAGATTTACACCTCTTGGAGTGCTTTATTAAAGTGAGTCCTTTACCTCTCGCGCGCGTGTGTGTTGCGTGTGCGCGCGCACACATGATCATCGAACACTGTTTGGAATTTCTAAATAACTCGGAATGCACGCGCGTACGCATGTATGCTCGCACGCACACATAAAAGGCAAAGGGACTCTTTAAATCTTGACGTAACATTCCCAAAATAGCTCAAGGTCAAACCAATATATATGATGACCAACTTGGTACCCTGCAACTTTTGTATGAAATTTTTTTTGCGGAGATACGTTTCCGATATAACCTAGTGCTCTGACCTTTTTGTGACATCCTGTATTACTGATTTTTCAATCACCGGACATAAATCAGTTGTTAGGCTATTTATAAGAGAAAAACTTGTATTCATATGAAAAACATTAATGAAACAATGTATTTAGATTCGCTTTATATACAGCATACCTAATATAAGTGAGAGAGAGAGAGAGAGAGAGAGAGAGAGAGAGAATCGCGCGCACGTACGTATCCCATTGTTGCCATGTTATCATGTAGGTATCAAAATATAGATAATTTAACTTTGTTCTTCCTTTGATTTTGTTCGGCAACGATGCTTTTTTCAGAAGCTCTTAAATTAGTAAGTTCCTTTTGCTTTTCATTATACTTCATTGCAATGCTATTGTAAAATACACTACCCTTGGCATGCTTTGTTAATGATTCTTTGAGTTTCGATGATTCTCTTTCTAAACGATTTATGTGTTCTCCAATTTGAAAACTAGCTACATTTAGATTCCTATTAGATTCTGTTTTAAGTTTATCTTTGCTTTGCAAACTACTAGCTATATTTTCTTCAGCTGCACAAGAATAATTAACAATATTTAAATATAATAAGCATTATCTTAATCATATTCAATAAACATTGTTCTTTTCTTAACTTACGTTTATCACTTAACGCTTTATTTATAAAATTAAACACATCATTATCATCTTTTTGTTTTTGTTTTTGATACTGTCTTTCTCTTTGCTGCTCTAACTTCTGTTGTTGTTTACGCATGTTACGTTCTGCAGAAAACAAATCTTTATCATCACCAGCAAATTCACGTAATTCCATGCAGTAATCTGAAAAAATGCAGCAAATTAATACTGTATTGCACGATCAGAGAAACTGTAAACAAACCTAACGATTTTCCTGCAGGCAAAACTTGAGTTTCAACAGGTTCTATTCTACCATCACTCCATTTTCCAAGACCAGTACCAATCACATAACCCATTTGCATCATTAATTTACTACCAATGCCACGTGTGTGTTTTTCCCAATTTCCTAAAGGTTCATTGGATTGTAATGTCAAAAGAGATTTATGAACTAATTGGTTATTTATGTACGAGTTGGGTTGTAATTCATTATCAACATTATTCGCATCTTCATCATCGTTATTGCTATCAGATGTATTTGACACTTCTGAATTTGTGTCATCTGTAAACAATAAATACCTGTGTTATCTATAAATAATACTTTTTCAAAAAAGCTATAAATGGTGTGTATGTAATTAATTTTTAAAACTTTTTACCTAAAGGTAAGAGATCTTGTAAACCGGCTTCTACAATTTTGCCACTTGATTCAAACTTTACTCTGTATTCATCTCCATTCTTTTCAGGCAATTTTAAAACAATGGATCTATACCACATATTATTTTTTTGTTTAGTTAACACCTTGCTTCCTATTTTGATGTTATGAAAATCAGGCTCCCTGTAAATCAAAAGTGTTACACTGAAGTAAATTGTGAATAATATAAATCTTTTAATTAACCGGAAAAAATTACTTGTATTCCTGTAAGCTTGAAAACGGCACAATTTTGCCATGACAATAATGGCAATTTTCATCGGAAAATTTACAACTACCATTGAGAAAATATGGACATGGGATCATTTCCTTGTGTGTTGGATTGAGAAAGAAAACTCGAACCTGGGATTAATGATCAAATTTAAGAACGAAACAATAAGAACAAATTATAAGTTAGAATATATAACAATTTTATCATTAATATTAACTTGCCTTAATGTCATTAACATCTTTAATTGCTTCACCACTGTCCTTATAAACAGAACATACCATAGCATTATGATAACTGATACCTCCCCAAGTACTGCCATGAGGAGCTTTACATTTCGTACCCTCTAGCTCCTTTAATTCGTCCTAAAAGGTTAACTTGCACCGTATAAATGCGTCACTGCTATGATATAGAGAATAGTTGTATACTGACTTCAATGCTACCAGAAGCAGCTACAGTTTTGTTGTCCTGTTCATCTTTACTGTTTGAAGATTTTTCCAGCTCTGCCTAATGGATTTAAACAACATTTAATAATGCATCAAAGTTGTTTTAATAATATAACTTTACATACCAAATTTTATATATACATTCATAATGTTTGAAAATTGTGAAAATATGCTGCAACAAAATCTGCATATGATAAAACATACACTTTATATTGTTCTACTTTAGATAATTTATTTATTTTTAATGATAACTAATTTATTTCAACTAATAAGAAAGATAAAGATAGTAAAACAGCCTAGTCTTCTGACAAAAATTAACAATAATTTCTAAAATAAACCTTGAAAAAGACATATTCTCTGTCCAATAGATCCTCCGTCTTGTCATCAGGATTATCGTCTTCATTTGTGTTTTCTACATTTTCTTCAAGATTTTGCAAACTTTCTTTCGTCAAGAAAATAAGTTCGTTAATGTCAGATTTCAAGCTGAGCAAGTTGTCTCTGTAAGGACCTTTTGGCGTTGTAGATAGTGTTGCATCCACTTGCGACAGCTGCAAAAGTAAACAAAAAGCGCTAAATAAAAGTAATTGCAAATAAATTCGAATTAATATAAATAATTTAAGGTTATAAACAGGACCGTTTATATGAATAAATCAACTACTCAGACAGTAAAGTCTACGAAGACAGAGCGTGCTATCAATTCTTGATTACAGCAAGACAACAAATTACACACAGGGCTCGTATTATTTAACAATGTCAGCAAACTCTGTAAGAAAAAGTCTGCTGACATGCTTTTCCAGCAGATTGGCAGCAGAAACAGAGCAAAATTTTGCAGTTCCTATTCAGTTTCTATTGCCAATCTGCCATTAAATTCTTGGTGCGCGCAGACCCTATTCACCAATCTGCTGAATAGGCATAATATGTCAGCAGATTCTGTCTTCTTTCGGTCTGTCGGTAGATCCATAGTCAAATACGGACACAGATGGCTCAGGTTTTATAGTATAGAAACAGGTTTTATAGTGAGAATCTAATCGAGTTATAGATTTTATAGTGGGAATAGGTTTTGTAGTGGGAATCTGATCGAGTTTGCTGACAATTTACTCGCAAAATGCTATTTGCTATCAGATTAAAGTTGATTAACGTTAATGAAAAAAAGATGTTTTTGTTAGTATTAATCAAGTGCAATAGTTAGTTTTTTCAAGAAATAAAGCTATATCTCTTTAGAAAACTTATATTAGTATAGACGACCTTCTTCTAATTTTTAATATTATACCTGGGTTTCATATTGCTCGATAGCTTCTTTTAAACTTCTTGCGTCTGTCATACCAGATCGTCATATAAAAAATCAATTGCAATTTGCGACAATTTAACACATGCGTGAAGTCCAATCTTTTGATATTAAATCTTGCACAGTTTATCAATTATTTAAGGCCCCTTCCGCCAACTCCAATTAATGCTAATCGACGGTGGTACATATTCTTATGCATTACGTGTTATGCGTTATGCAAGAGTCTGTGCTCCCCGCTTAACTCAGAACACAGAGAAACTAGAGGCTTAAGGCCATTCTACGTTGTCGTATCGTAGACGTCGCAAGTTACAAGCTTGTTGCTTCAGCCAATCCGATGCTTCAATTTTAAAGTCGTATGATGCTTCCGACGCTGCGATACGACCAATGTAGAATGGCCTTTAGATACCAGAGATGCGACATTGGTCGCGTTCAGCAGACTCAACTGGGGCGTTTTTTCGTTATCCAACCAGAAGCTACCACAACTAATAGCGTTTTCGGCCCGACCAGGTTTGCACCAACC